CATCACCGTCTTCATCGCATTGACTAAACATTTTAGGTATGGTTTACCAGCAGATAGTATTGCAGAATCCAATCAACGGATTCCCTTTTTTTTGGGCAACGATAAGATCACACATCCTTCAATCCAGAATAAGAACCCAAATAGGTAAATAACAACTTGTTAAATTAAAATCAACTTACGGGTAGAATTGGGATAACTGCAGAAAAGGGATTAGGCAGAGGAATACTCCTGACCGCCTTTACGAAGACATTGAAAATACGCCGTACAGTCGACAGGAGACTGCGCGAAGCGCAACCTTCTCAACTCACCGAAACTTTACGAGGCCGCTTGCACATCTACTAGAAAGCACCTCCAGCAGGCTGCTGCTTCACGCTACAGGCATCAAGTGTCGCTTCCGCAACAGCCGAGCCACTCAATCGAAGTTGTAAAACATGGTGAAGTGAAGGGGCTACGCAGGGGAAAATAATTGAAAATAAACACTGAAATGTAAATAAATGAAGGTAAGCAGAAATAAGTAGAAAGCAATAGCGGCGAATTAATATCAATGAGGAATACTTATAAAGGTGGAAAAAGAATTTGATGTGATGCAAAGATGACATGAGGGGAGAATGATAAGAGGGGCATAAGTGGTGATGAATTACAAAATACTCCTTACCTACGTAATGTGCGAAATCGTCCAAAACGCGAGATTAGCAGTTGGATTTGTTGGAAAAACATCCATGCCCATGGGATAATGGCCCATGAGAAATAGACATATGACGGATTAGAAAAGAAGTGAAAGGAAGTTGTCGTGAAGAAGAGGAGGAAGCGATTATTAAATGGTATAAGCCTTATTTCAACACACAATGTTTACCTGTCCCTATATGCTTGGCTACATGCCTGTGCGTATGGCTGTTGCGACAAACCTAGGCAACTTTCACGCATTCAGAAGGAAACAGATGGAATATGAAAGGCGGGAAGAAAACAAAAGCAAACCGGTAAGTCATTTTGATATCACACTCCATGCTGATAAAATTAAATCACATTTTGTCATCTGCCTACCACCTTCAAGTTATCTCATTTTCAATGCTGTAATTTGGAGATTCCGTCAATTGTCTGCATGCATTCCAGTATCGCATGAACAGTGGAAGATGATTCGCAACAACAACATGGCATTCAATGTAAAACGCTCTACTTGACACCATTCCCAGTCGGTTACTCCGTCAATTTATACCTTCCGTTGTACCATCCACCGTCGCAGAGCCTCAGCACTGATACAACTGTTGACTTTGACTCACTGCCGATGCTGTCTGATACGACAGCGGCTAGCATAGCTGCAGTGGTCGGAAATCGCACAAATTTTGCAAGACTGTGCTGTGACTCTCCTTTGGGTCAACCGAGTTGGCAACTCAAGTTAGTTCAGTCTCATATGAATACATTAGCGAGAGCATTGGCTATTTCGATCATCGGTGACTGTTTCACAGTCAATGATTTTCCACGTCTACAAAAAGATGACACCGTCTATGATCGTGACTCTGACTCGATGAGCTCAGGGGGGTGGCAGTCGGTCTCAGTGACACCTGCCAACTGAAGGTGTCTTACCCTCTCATTCAAGCAATTCACATTGTCTTTGATTCACACAAAGCGTTTGTTTGACTCATTCTTTTGTTGTGATACGTGTTGTTTGAAAATTAGATCGTCCTGGAATTTGCATTCCTCGTCAAAATTTTACATAATATGGGTCACAATGCAGCAGCAACGCTCTCCCACACTCCTCCCTAGTCTCCACTCTCTCTTTCCTTCACCACAAGCACTACGGTCGTCAACACCACCTTCCAGCAGTGCACCCGCTCATGCGCAAGTGGGTTCCACAATTGCAGCAATTGCAGTGCATTCAGGCCATCAGCGTTGCTTATCTCTAAATGCATTGGCAGGTGAAATTCAACATCTGCTGGCCTTACAAACACTACCTCCATTACCACTAGCACTGATGTTGAGGCGACAACTACTGTCTCTTCCTTGGGAACTCTCTACCTCATTGGGCCTTCCTCCTCCATCCTCACAGAAAATCGTCTACCATCCTCAGCCTCCACCTCCTCACCTCACTCCGACTTCACGCAATCCTCCGACTCGCATTCACTGTTCCAACCACCGACTGCACAATCAGCGTCCACTTCTCTGACGTCCATTACATCCCGTTAGACCACTCCCGTCAATCACACCGTACCACCAGCACCACTCTCACCCAACGATTCCATGGAGGACATTGGTAAGTAACTCCCCTCTTCTGCATTTTTGCCTTCATTCTACTTCTTCTACTCACAGCCACTACTCTTCCTCCCCTTCTGCACTCAGGTCTCATCTGTGGCATTCAGTTGGGCAGTGGTATTAATAACCCACAATGTGGAGAGCGGTTTAATAACGGTAACATCGATGACGACGACATTGAGTTATTGGAGGGGGAATCAGAGTGTGACAAGTGTGTGGTCAGATATGGATGAGTGTGCGGAGGTGTGGCAATTGTCACCAACCCAGGTAGGATGCACTCCTGTCAGCATCACATCGTCATCTACATCCACAGCGTCTCCACTACTGGCACACTAACTGTGAACCACCAAAGCCGCGACAGAGAACAAGATGTGGATATATGCGAATGTGTAGCGAGGGAAGAGCTGGAGAAATAGCACCACACAATCTGTCCCTCGGAATCACCTCGTAGTGGGTGACTTTCTATGAGCTACCACCCAAATGGTCGCACGGCTGAGGAGGTGTTGGGCAATCCCCAGTATTTTCACCATTACACGAGGAACCATGCTACTCAGTCAGTCAGTTGGTCGGTCGCTTGACAATCCAGCTGGCCAGTCTGTCATCCACCCGACCGGGTAGGAAAGAGAGAGAGAGGGAAAGATGAATCAATGTTGAGTAAGGGGGAATGCATGGGGGAATTGAGGAATGAATGAAGAGGATGGTGAGGTTGTAGATAGATAAACAGATGGAGGTGGACGGACGTAGGTGGGTGGTTAGGAGAGGGGCATCAGTGCTCTTCTTAACTCTTCAGCTTAAACCTCAATTATTGCACATCTCTTCTCTCAGCTACCAACTCGCAACTCCTAACTCTCCCACGTCTTTCAGTAAGTTTGCATACTTTCCCTCATTCATCCCTTCCTTACCATTGTTTACTTCACTGACACCCTTCTCACCCACGTGGACTCAATTCAACCTCCCCATCTTCCTTCCTTTCTCCCATTCTAGTGATCCAAACGACTGAGGAGGCGTCTGCAATATCCTCTTTCTTCCTGCTGCTCTATCCAATCCTAATCTCACTGGTTCATGATTCACCAACGGATTTGTCTCTCCATGAATTCCCAACCTAGCTAAATGACTAACTGCTTCATTATTCGAATGACTGTCAATAAAATGACCTCGTGACCTTTTCGGCAGTTGCACACAACCACTGGGGATTGGTGCGATCCAAGTTTAATGGGCTGATCGTCTCTTTGACTGTTAAAATCAATGAAGTGATGGGAGTGGAGCAAAACCGTGTACAAGCTGAGCTGGTGAGTCTATATGAATAGAAGTGCAAGTTGAAGGCATTGCAGTGACCATAATGGAATGGAAATGATGAATACACATTGTGCTGACTAAATCGGATGGAAACATTGAAGGATTGGTGGGAGAAGGAGGAGGAGGAGGAGGAGGAGGAGAAGGATGAGGATTCGGGGATTGTGAAGGTGAGGATGGAAGTAGACGAGGAGAGGAGGTGATAATGCAGGAGAGAATCCTCTTGTGACAGTGCTAGGGTAAGGTGTAGGCGAGTGGAGAGAGGATGGCGTGAAGAGCTGAGGAGAAGGCGCAGTGGGTTATTGAGGTCATGGGGAAGCGAGTGGGTCAGTTGCACATGAGGCCAATTTGAGATGGATGTGGTGACATAGGAAATGAGTTTGTTAGGCTACGTTGGAATCGCCCAACTATATACTCGACTTTGGTGCTGTGTGTTTGGACGAACTCTTCACGCGTCTGAGTGAAGTCCCTCGTAGCAGTGGATTAAGCGGAAGAGGCAGGCCTGTTTCTTCCTTTCTGCACTCCCCTACTTGCGTAGTAATATGTGTTGCATTCATCAACTTGATATTCCTCAATACTCAAAGCGATTACACTGATGCTTCCAATAATAAATGCATGATTCGTCTAACTCATCTAGCTATTTTATTGGGCTTTCTCTAAACCGTCGGATCTTTTTAGACGCAGCGCAAATGCTTCATTTGAAAGCTGGAATGGTGGTTAAATGGAGGAGCAGACGAGTGCCGGCTGCAGTGAATGCAATTGTACTCACACAGGTCAGCATTAGGTCCTCATTTTTGCTCCCTTCTTCCACTTACAATGAAAGATCCCAATGTCTTACACATCATGAATGGAATTGGATTCTTTGGTGGTGGCGATTGCTATGGACGCTTTCATTAAGCAATGCATCACTCATCCACTCCTTCGGAATTCCGCATTGCCGTATTTCCAACTTATTGCATCTCGTCAGACTCTGTGTGGATGCTGCATTTTGAACAATGGAGTGAGAGCTGCATAAGAGAGTGCACGAGTGCTTGCTGGGTTGGATGGAATTATGCTTCGCTAGGGCAGCATCAAGTCCCCGTCTCCACTCTGTTCTGTCACTTACAATGGACAAACCTAATGTCCACCACATTATAAATGGGATTGGTTTCTCGTTTGTAGCAAGTACATTAATAGCTGAATTTTTGTCAAATTCTACCCGCCATCCTTCCATTGCTCGGTCAACAGGATTGCACTCAGAGGATGGAAGGGAGAAAGTATAAGGAAGTGGAGGTGGGAAGAAGAGAGAAAGAGTGAAATCTCGTTGGGTAGTAACAGGAGTGGGTGTTTGGCCAGCTGTGCCCGCAGCACTGCTACTGACTCGTGTTAATGAATCCTTGCACCGCAGGTCTCCGTTAGAGACAGACGGGTTTTGCATTCGAATACTGCATGCAGATGCTCATTCAAGCTCTCCCAATGGTAGGCATAGCAGAGATATTTTGTTGTTAAGGCCGATCGCACTGCACAAATTCTGCATCTTGCCACAGGTTAGTCAACCTCACCGCCATGGATGATCACCCTGTCATGTGCCATTCAACAGCTCATGGCACACATGCAGTCATGATAAAAATGGTCAAAATTCTACTTATATTAGCACCTCATTCCCTTCCACCATCCTCTTTGGGTGTATCTTGCCCATAAAGAATATGTCTGAATAAATGTTCTGGTGCTTCTGCAAAGCATGGATAGATAGGTATGCCGACGATTGTGCCATGCTCCAGTAGCCATGGCGTTGCCAACGTTCTCAATCATGTCAATTTACAGGTTAAAACCGAACCACAAGAAGTGTTGATGGAAGTGAACCAAAAGATAATGTGCACATTTCACACACATCACCGTCTTCATCGCATTGACTAAACATTTTAGGTATGGTTTACCAGCAGATAGTATTGCAGAATCCAATCAACGGATTCCCTTTTTTTTGGGCAACGATAAGATCACACATCCTTCAATCCAGAATAAGAACCCAAATAGGTAAATAACAACTTGTTAAATTAAAATCAACTTACGGGTAGAATTGGGATAACTGCAGAAAAGGGATTAGGCAGAGGAATACTCCTGACCGCCTTTACGAAGACATTGAAAATACGCCGTACAGTCGACAGGAGACTGCGCGAAGCGCAACCTTCTCAACTCACCGAAACTTTACGAGGCCGCTTGCACATCTACTAGAAAGCACCTCCAGCAGGCTGCTGCTTCACGCTACAGGCATCAAGTGTCGCTTCCGCAACAGCCGAGCCACTCAATCGAAGTTGTAAAACATGGTGAAGTGAAGGGGCTACGCAGGGGAAAATAATTGAAAATAAACACTGAAATGTAAATAAATGAAGGTAAGCAGAAATAAGTAGAAAGCAATAGCGGCGAATTAATATCAATGAGGAATACTTATAAAGGTGGAAAAAGAATTTGATGTGATGCAAAGATGACATGAGGGGAGAATGATAAGAGGGGCATAAGTGGTGATGAATTACAAAATACTCCTTACCTACGTAATGTGCGAAATCGTCCAAAACGCGAGATTAGCAGTTGGATTTGTTGGAAAAACATCCATGCCCATGGGATAATGGCCCATGAGAAATAGACATATGACGGATTAGAAAAGAAGTGAAAGGAAGTTGTCGTGAAGAAGAGGAGGAAGCGATTATTAAATGGTATAAGCCTTATTTCAACACACAATGTTTACCTGTCCCTATATGCTTGGCTACATGCCTGTGCGTATGGCTGTTGCGACAAACCTAGGCAACTTTCACGCATTCAGAAGGAAACAGATGGAATATGAAAGGCGGGAAGAAAACAAAAGCAAACCGGTAAGTCATTTTGATATCACACTCCATGCTGATAAAATTAAATCACATTTTGTCATCTGCCTACCACCTTCAAGTTATCTCATTTTCAATGCTGTAATTTGGAGATTCCGTCAATTGTCTGCATGCATTCCAGTATCGCATGAACAGTGGAAGATGATTCGCAACAACAACATGGCATTCAATGTAAAACGCTCTACTTGACACCATTCCCAGTCGGTTACTCCGTCAATTTATACCTTCCGTTGTACCATCCACCGTCGCAGAGCCTCAGCACTGATACAACTGTTGACTTTGACTCACTGCCGATGCTGTCTGATACGACAGCGGCTAGCATAGCTGCAGTGGTCGGAAATCGCACAAATTTTGCAAGACTGTGCTGTGACTCTCCTTTGGGTCAACCGAGTTGGCAACTCAAGTTAGTTCAGTCTCATATGAATACATTAGCGAGAGCATTGGCTATTTCGATCATCGGTGACTGTTTCACAGTCAATGATTTTCCACGTCTACAAAAAGATGACACCGTCTATGATCGTGACTCTGACTCGATGAGCTCAGGGGGGTGGCAGTCGGTCTCAGTGACACCTGCCAACTGAAGGTGTCTTACCCTCTCATTCAAGCAATTCACATTGTCTTTGATTCACACAAAGCGTTTGTTTGACTCATTCTTTTGTTGTGATACGTGTTGTTTGAAAATTAGATCGTCCTGGAATTTGCATTCCTCGTCAAAATTTTACATAATATGGGTCACAATGCAGCAGCAACGCTCTCCCACACTCCTCCCTAGTCTCCACTCTCTCTTTCCTTCACCACAAGCACTACGGTCGTCAACACCACCTTCCAGCAGTGCACCCGCTCATGCGCAAGTGGGTTCCACAATTGCAGCAATTGCAGTGCATTCAGGCCATCAGCGTTGCTTATCTCTAAATGCATTGGCAGGTGAAATTCAACATCTGCTGGCCTTACAAACACTACCTCCATTACCACTAGCACTGATGTTGAGGCGACAACTACTGTCTCTTCCTTGGGAACTCTCTACCTCATTGGGCCTTCCTCCTCCATCCTCACAGAAAATCGTCTACCATCCTCAGCCTCCACCTCCTCACCTCACTCCGACTTCACGCAATCCTCCGACTCGCATTCACTGTTCCAACCACCGACTGCACAATCAGCGTCCACTTCTCTGACGTCCATTACATCCCGTTAGACCACTCCCGTCAATCACACCGTACCACCAGCACCACTCTCACCCAACGATTCCATGGAGGACATTGGTAAGTAACTCCCCTCTTCTGCATTTTTGCCTTCATTCTACTTCTTCTACTCACAGCCACTACTCTTCCTCCCCTTCTGCACTCAGGTCTCATCTGTGGCATTCAGTTGGGCAGTGGTATTAATAACCCACAATGTGGAGAGCGGTTTAATAACGGTAACATCGATGACGACGACATTGAGTTATTGGAGGGGGAATCAGAGTGTGACAAGTGTGTGGTCAGATATGGATGAGTGTGCGGAGGTGTGGCAATTGTCACCAACCCAGGTAGGATGCACTCCTGTCAGCATCACATCGTCATCTACATCCACAGCGTCTCCACTACTGGCACACTAACTGTGAACCACCAAAGCCGCGACAGAGAACAAGATGTGGATATATGCGAATGTGTAGCGAGGGAAGAGCTGGAGAAATAGCACCACACAATCTGTCCCTCGGAATCACCTCGTAGTGGGTGACTTTCTATGAGCTACCACCCAAATGGTCGCACGGCTGAGGAGGTGTTGGGCAATCCCCAGTATTTTCACCATTACACGAGGAACCATGCTACTCAGTCAGTCAGTTGGTCGGTCGCTTGACAATCCAGCTGGCCAGTCTGTCATCCACCCGACCGGGTAGGAAAGAGAGAGAGAGGGAAAGATGAATCAATGTTGAGTAAGGGGGAATGCATGGGGGAATTGAGGAATGAATGAAGAGGATGGTGAGGTTGTAGATAGATAAACAGATGGAGGTGGACGGACGTAGGTGGGTGGTTAGGAGAGGGGCATCAGTGCTCTTCTTAACTCTTCAGCTTAAACCTCAATTATTGCACATCTCTTCTCTCAGCTACCAACTCGCAACTCCTAACTCTCCCACGTCTTTCAGTAAGTTTGCATACTTTCCCTCATTCATCCCTTCCTTACCATTGTTTACTTCACTGACACCCTTCTCACCCACGTGGACTCAATTCAACCTCCCCATCTTCCTTCCTTTCTCCCATTCTAGTGATCCAAACGACTGAGGAGGCGTCTGCAATATCCTCTTTCTTCCTGCTGCTCTATCCAATCCTAATCTCACTGGTTCATGATTCACCAACGGATTTGTCTCTCCATGAATTCCCAACCTAGCTAAATGACTAACTGCTTCATTATTCGAATGACTGTCAATAAAATGACCTCGTGACCTTTTCGGCAGTTGCACACAACCACTGGGGATTGGTGCGATCCAAGTTTAATGGGCTGATCGTCTCTTTGACTGTTAAAATCAATGAAGTGATGGGAGTGGAGCAAAACCGTGTACAAGCTGAGCTGGTGAGTCTATATGAATAGAAGTGCAAGTTGAAGGCATTGCAGTGACCATAATGGAATGGAAATGATGAATACACATTGTGCTGACTAAATCGGATGGAAACATTGAAGGATTGGTGGGAGAAGGAGGAGGAGGAGGAGGAGGAGGAGAAGGATGAGGATTCGGGGATTGTGAAGGTGAGGATGGAAGTAGACGAGGAGAGGAGGTGATAATGCAGGAGAGAATCCTCTTGTGACAGTGCTAGGGTAAGGTGTAGGCGAGTGGAGAGAGGATGGCGTGAAGAGCTGAGGAGAAGGCGCAGTGGGTTATTGAGGTCATGGGGAAGCGAGTGGGTCAGTTGCACATGAGGCCAATTTGAGATGGATGTGGTGACATAGGAAATGAGTTTGTTAGGCTACGTTGGAATCGCCCAACTATATACTCGACTTTGGTGCTGTGTGTTTGGACGAACTCTTCACGCGTCTGAGTGAAGTCCCTCGTAGCAGTGGATTAAGCGGAAGAGGCAGGCCTGTTTCTTCCTTTCTGCACTCCCCTACTTGCGTAGTAATATGTGTTGCATTCATCAACTTGATATTCCTCAATACTCAAAGCGATTACACTGATGCTTCCAATAATAAATGCATGATTCGTCTAACTCATCTAGCTATTTTATTGGGCTTTCTCTAAACCGTCGGATCTTTTTAGACGCAGCGCAAATGCTTCATTTGAAAGCTGGAATGGTGGTTAAATGGAGGAGCAGACGAGTGCCGGCTGCAGTGAATGCAATTGTACTCACACAGGTCAGCATTAGGTCCTCATTTTTGCTCCCTTCTTCCACTTACAATGAAAGATCCCAATGTCTTACACATCATGAATGGAATTGGATTCTTTGGTGGTGGCGATTGCTATGGACGCTTTCATTAAGCAATGCATCACTCATCCACTCCTTCGGAATTCCGCATTGCCGTATTTCCAACTTATTGCATCTCGTCAGACTCTGTGTGGATGCTGCATTTTGAACAATGGAGTGAGAGCTGCATAAGAGAGTGCACGAGTGCTTGCTGGGTTGGATGGAATTATGCTTCGCTAGGGCAGCATCAAGTCCCCGTCTCCACTCTGTTCTGTCACTTACAATGGACAAACCTAATGTCCACCACATTATAAATGGGATTGGTTTCTCGTTTGTAGCAAGTACATTAATAGCTGAATTTTTGTCAAATTCTACCCGCCATCCTTCCATTGCTCGGTCAACAGGATTGCACTCAGAGGATGGAAGGGAGAAAGTATAAGGAAGTGGAGGTGGGAAGAAGAGAGAAAGAGTGAAATCTCGTTGGGTAGTAACAGGAGTGGGTGTTTGGCCAGCTGTGCCCGCAGCACTGCTACTGACTCGTGTTAATGAATCCTTGCACCGCAGGTCTCCGTTAGAGACAGACGGGTTTTGCATTCGAATACTGCATGCAGATGCTCATTCAAGCTCTCCCAATGGTAGGCATAGCAGAGATATTTTGTTGTTAAGGCCGATCGCACTGCACAAATTCTGCATCTTGCCACAGGTTAGTCAACCTCACCGCCATGGATGATCACCCTGTCATGTGCCATTCAACAGCTCATGGCACACATGCAGTCATGATAAAAATGGTCAAAATTCTACTTATATTAGCACCTCATTCCCTTCCACCATCCTCTTTGGGTGTATCTTGCCCATAAAGAATATGTCTGAATAAATGTTCTGGTGCTTCTGCAAAGCATGGATAGATAGGTATGCCGACGATTGTGCCATGCTCCAGTAGCCATGGCGTTGCCAACGTTCTCAATCATGTCAATTTACAGGTTAAAACCGAACCACAAGAAGTGTTGATGGAAGTGAACCAAAAGATAATGTGCACATTTCACACAGAAAGCTGCAAAATGAGGAAAAAGCTCGTTTGTTTCTGGTTTATATTAAATGCAATTGATCGGGGTTAATGCTTGTTTCTTAAGAGAGGATGGGCAAGTGGAATCTAACCGATCGTTAAACGGTGGAGCCATGTCGAAAATGCGTCTTTTCTCAGCAGATTATTCATAACACCATCGAATACCATGTGTATTTGTACACATACCGAAGTGTCCATCTATTACAAGAACAGAAGTTAATTTAAAAGGTGTTCGCTGGTGTTCTTCTATCAGGAGGGCAGTTGCTTTATTGCCCCACGGTGCATGGAACCAATTCACAGCTTCCTCACTACTCACGATTCCTTCATTTTCCTTCCAGCTGTCCCTGTTGATATCAATCCAGAGCTGGAAGAGCGTACTTCAACTCTTTACTATAAGAAATGCGGCCAAAGCTTGCATGCATCTAATTGCAGAACGCTGTGTTTTACGTCATTCTCATATAAGATCGGCTTAAGCGTTTCCACACTTCTTTCGTTATCAAACTGCATGCCTAAACCCAGAAATATTTCATTACATCCACTGTCATGCTTCTATAATATTTCTTTTTTACATTCAATTTTAGTTAAAATATGTCTCGGGCTTCAGTGCATTTCGGTACTTATTTGTTGATGGCTAAGGAAGTTTGCTACTCTACAGTTGCAGCCTCGTTTGTTGATACGTAATTGAGACTGTGTAGGGTCTCCAAGCAGCCTTGAAGACGAGTAAAGACATGCTACTGGGACAAAATATGTATTGTTTGTCTAGAGAAGGGACTGGGCTCATTGGCATTGTTTGGAGACCAAAACGCCTGCAAATTATACATTGGTGATGTTATTGTTGTTACCAAATACATAGAGTTGGACAATCAACCAATGAACTAGCGTTACTGAAATTCCATACCTTCCCGTGTTCCTCAACGGAAGACATGCATTATGCCAGGGTTCGGTTGAAGAGAGCGTGCTCCACACTAGTGAGTACCACGAGCTCCTTGTTTGACAGGTACGGCATTTGTGATGACTTGAACGCCACTTTTGCGTTCATTAGGCTGAATTTGACGATCTGGGAGTGCGCGCAGTCCTCACACCCCTTCTATCACCAGCCTCTCTACCTGTCCCTTCTCACCAGCAGCAAGACAGCCACATACACACACACACACACACACCACCTCTCATGTTTGCTTATACATACGTCTGCCACACCGCCTCACATTACCTCGCACAATACCTCCTTCACCCATCAACGTACTCTTCTCACTTCACACCTCCCAGCTACTTGTGCAGACGCAACCTCAATCTACACCCTGCCGCCACTGCTACCCTCTAGGTCTCAATTTTCTTCTCTCTTGCTTCGCCTGCGCCTACTTTAGCATTCCTGTCTTTTCCTTACCACACATCCCAGGAGTCACAAGCAAAGTGTTTGTCTGTCTCAGTTGACAACGCTACCACATCACTCACTCACTCACCTTCATCATGTGGCTGTGTTCAAGCACGTTTCATGCCACTGGGTGGGATGACACTGTATGCTGCAACAGCAGCAGCAGCAGCGTTGACAGGCAGTAGCATGGAGTGAATTGCAATGACAAGAGGGTGCTGATGATGCGGCCTCTTCCACTCTATGATACGTCTTCTCTCACAGTCAGATGGAAACTGTGAGTAGTTAGACATGTCAAATGTATGGGTGTTATTGTAAGTTTGGTCTCATTTATTTGTCCTTTTTACTCGGATATTTGCTCAGCCATGACTTCAAACATGTTTTGTGAGTTGAATCAACAATTACGGTTTGAAAGTCAGCAATGTACGTGTCTGCACCTCAAATTTGATGAACATTTAACCTGCTTGGCACGTTGCCAAAGCAATCGTCTTGCCAAATTACCGGTGGTTTTGCCCGACTTGCTTTTGATACTGCTCGTTCCGAAATGGGCAATCTTGGGCCTTGCTTCTTTCTTGCTCATGGTTCACCGAAGGCTGCGCCATAGTGTGTCATATCTTCTTACGTCTTACTTCCACACGCATTTCTTCCGCTGCCACTGCCACTGTGTTCGTGTTCATTATCCCGAGGGGTAATTTTCACCCAGCATCGCCTCAACCTTATTGCTCCAGCATGTTTCACCTCTCATCTGTCCACTTGTCTTTCGGCGACTTCAGAAAAACCGTTTCTACATTTAAAACAACTCACACACAAGTTCGTAATTTACAGGAGGGTGTCTTCATCACGAAATTCACATGTAAGGATTCGATGTTACTCAGCATGCAGCAAGAACAACGTGTTGGAAACTATGTAGGAACCAATTCTAACGCTGCTTTTACTCTTGTCATTTGCGTGGGCGAATGCACATTCATATCAATCCGTCTTTTATTTCCTCAAGCACCCTAGACTCGGTGTTCCCATGACACAGTCCGTATAATTAACTGTTTATTGAGAACGTCACTCCGCGATCCCAACATCGGATGCCTTATGGCAGTCTGTCCATATGATATATAAATGGATCGGTAGGCTTTGCTTCAGCACAGCAGTTCAAATTGGGGTAGGTA